GATGTAGTTAAAATAAATGTAAAAAAAAGGTGACTAAAACATTTCGCGTTTTAAACCGTAAGTGTTTTAAATACTGTCTATAGTATACGCGAGTAGTACACATTTAAATAAAACACTTTAACGGTTTAAAACGCGATATATTAGTTAAATTTATTTGGAAATGATTTTTAAATAAGTTTAACTAATATATCGCGTTTTAAACCGTTAAAGTGTTTTATTTCAATGTAACTGACAGTTACTAAAATACATCGAAATTTGCTGGTCTGCTTATATTAATGATAATAAATATAAGATAAAATAGTTTCCTGTCCTGAACTGAAATGATTGAGCAGTTTTAAAAGAATGAAATGGACAAACGATGATATCATCAAATAAAGTAGTAGTCAATTGATAAGCTCAACTTAAACTGGCTTATTGACATAACGCAACACGTTACCAAAACCTATTAAATTATAGATCTTAGATTGACATTACATAGCGTGACGTTTAGACACGTCTCCTGCTAATCACAGTATTCAGAATGTTGCCATGTCTGGTCTTTTGGTTCATTCGACAGCATATAACAGATTCCAGGGCTCAACGCTCAAGACGAAATCTTAGGTATTTGGAATTTTAATGTCAACTCCTAAAGAGGAAATCGTCGTATTAAAAAGCTCAACAATATGGGCTTGATACATCTATAATTTACGGTCTGTACTATCCGAAAGGAGATCCGTGTTCAGCTGTAGGATATTATAGGTTGAAGTAACCCAAGTTTGCAGGTCGTAAACCGATAATTAATAAAACCAACACGCGTGAAGGTCTTACATCCGCACAAATCAACAGTCGAACAACAGAAGTTACGGTAATAAAATATATTCATTACCTGATTCGAAGTAGCTCAATAAATCCTTATGAAAAGTGAATTAATCAACAAAGTTTCCCCCCTTCCGAATATTTCGTCAAGCGAAACAACATATTGCGAACTTCTCAAATTATTGTACAAGTTAATCTCGAATCGTTAGGGCACCTATAGCTCCCTTGAGGCGTTTACGGGTTCGAAGTTTCTTGGTTTAAACTTAAAAGTACCTCAAATAGGATTATTGTATATCGATTCGTATACTTATTTAAATCTGTAATTTTAACTGCTTAAAACGATATTTTGCGCTTATGAAAACATTTATATTGCGACCCGACATTTTGGGTCTTTTTAGTAGTTAAACGTAGGAGGTACCTTCGTACCTTAATGAACGTCTTGGGTTCTAGTCCCGTAAAAAGTTTCGGTTTGGTAGGGCACAGAAGTCTGAACAACAATGGACTTGTAAGTGAAACCATGAAACGAACACAGAAATGCGTTTTCCCCGTGCCCCACTAGGGGAACGGAATATAACTAAGTTACACACATGTAAAAAGTTTCTAAATAATTGGGATTTCAAATGTCAAAGAATTTGTAGAAATATTTATATTTGGAGATTCTAGAATCTTTCAAATCTTGTCCTAATTTATGTTAGTTAGAGCTTATGGTGTCTAAAGAAACTTTTAAGTGTGCCTACTTCTGTGTTGTCCGCCTTATCTTATACTAGAATTAATAATATGAATTTTGTAAACGTTAACTTTAAAAGTATAGTAGTACCAGAATAAAGTTGTATGATAAATAAAACAAGTAACAGAACAAAGATATTGCCATCAAAGATTTCTAAATAAATATGGAATAGTGGAATACAAAAGGATTTTTGTTGAGAATAATATTTATGGCGTCGTGTGTTCATGCGCAATTAGTTTTATAGCTACTGGAGAAAGTCCAGATACTGTATTGGGAACGGGAAATATTATTTTTATGGAGACTCACACAGAAATAGATATACCTACATAAGCTTTTAAGATAAATGCGACCGTACTTTTTTGGCAAGCCAGAAATATTATTACTTATATACTGTGTGTAGTTTAAGCGAGTAGTAGTAGTTTTTTACTACAGCCTGACGTTTTGTTTTGGACGGAAAAATAATTCGTGGCCTTAATAAGATTAACTAATATATTTCGCGTTTTAAATCGTTAAGTAATGTGTTTTATTTTTTAAAATACTTAAATTTTTGTGTCTCTATAATATGTGTATCACTATACTATTTTAGGCCACAAGCGAACAATTAAATCAAATATGTTATTAAACAAATATTTATAAATATCTTAAAAATAAAAGTAAGCCAACATATAGAATTCCGAGGGCTTAATACCGAATTTTAATAAAAAACAATGACAATAGAGACAGACATACAAGAATGTATTATGCATACATACAGCTTAACAATGTTCATAAACAAATATTAATTTTCAAGCATATCCACAAGTCATTTGAATCATAAAAGCTTTTCATCTACAGTCTCACAATTGCTATGCTGCAGTTCAATTTTGAAAAAGGGACTTCTATGAACTTTTCAAGCATCGTACTAAAATCGGGCAATGGTATATAAGTGCCAATACATACATAACTGTATTTATGTATATTATGATCTCATAAATATTTATTTGTTTTCGTATACAAGACACATATACCTAATGTAGTGGACATTACGTATATTTTTAATTATATAATTAAACGCAAAACAAAATGCAAAGGAATATAGATCGTAACATGATTATCAATATCGGAAAATGAACTTCTATATTATTTTAAAATCAACTATAAATTGAATAAATTTACGACCCGGGGCAGGACTTGAACCGGTACCCAAATCGTTCCGTGCCGTTGCTCTAACCAATTGAGCTACCGAGTTCTACATATCATCGTCAATTTTTTTCAACATAACGATACATCTCACGCATTGTAATTTCAGCCTTGACACTTACATATTAAAGCGTTTAATAATATAATAAATAAGTCGTAATTTTTTTTTCAATTTATAATCGATTTTAATGCATGTAGTGCCATCATGTGTATATTCAAGTTTTCAATCTCCAACATTGTTTTTATATCAAGTTAAAATTATTACACTAGCAACGTAACATTATTTACCAGCCACTTTGTAAAGATCCGAATTCTCGTTCTGCCCTACAACGTACATTCAAGGCCTGGTTGAAAGGTGATAGAAAATTGAATTTCCCGTCCCCGGGGAGATTGCAGCTTTAAACCTTATGCACGATTATTAAATTCCCGCCTCGCTGTCAGACAGAGCCGTTTAAAATACAAGCATTCGATAAGAAAATTGGTCTTTCAAAGAGATTCGACGCCTTTTAAGAAACATTGCATCTCTTAGAGGGAAGACATTTGCGAGATAGATATCGTTACAAATTCTCTAATACCTTCGAATCAACGCTTATCAAATTGTCACTTATTTGTCTCTTCTAAAGTGTATATATACTTCTTTAATGATATATTTTAGATATTCCTACCATCGATTTAATATCTAGATTTCCAGACGAAGTCCAACATGTTAATCCAAAATGTCTTAGCAAACAGACTATACCTTTTTTCAGCTACAGCAGCAGCGTGGAACATGGTGGTCTTTAATCAAAACTATTTGTATATGTCTACAAAGATAATAGTTTAGTTCCCTTTATTACAAATACTTACCTCACTCTATTTTGCTCTTATTTTGCTACCCTGTAAATCGAACCCATGGCCTCTCGGGCTTAATATATTTTGCAGGGAATTGTATTCGTATGTATAATATATTGCCAGTTGAGGTTTCAATTATCATTAAATAAGCTTAAAAAGTCATAAAATTAAGATTGTGTCAAAGGCCTAAATTTTGTTTAAATTATTTCTTTAATGAAAAGGCTGCCTGGCAGTGATATGAATTGCTCTTTAGGTTAATAAATTCACAAAAATGTTTATAAGACATGGTGAAAAAAATCCAGACTAAGTTTCTTGGGTGTTCATCTCGGTTATGTTTTGAACGGTTGTATTTTGAACACTCTGTAAAATCACGACGAACAGACAGACAAACATTTTTATGTTTTTTGTTTTGACAAAACTGAATATTTTTAAAATTTAATTGAAAATAGCATATTTTTTTATTATTTCAGGCAAGAGGTATAACAGTTAACCCCACGGACGTTTGTCATAGTCCGATAAAATAGACTAAAATAATAAATATACGCACAGCTTACCCAATCCAATTTGTCGTAAGCCAACAATGGTTATTAATATTTCATAATTAATATAGTGTTTACTCTGTTACTGCGGTAATTGGACGGTTAATTAGGTAACGGTTATGGCACTTATGTAATTATGTTTAATGAAGATATATAATATAATTAAATAAAGGTAATACAATATAGTACAATTTATTGTTCTTTATCTCTCCTAAATCTTGGCCATGCGTTGATCCAAGGAGGAAGTCACATAAGATTAAAATGAAATATTTCTGCATAAGAACTCCACCTGAAATATAAACGTTAACAACTGGTTCTGCTACTTCGTAGGTGGTTTTATGAAATAAAGATTTCAGGTATCTAGAATTGTTAATATAAATAACTACACCATCATGTTTCTTCAATAAAAACCCTACACTATCTTCGTCGGTGATATTAACACAATGAAATTTCGTATAAACCTGCATTTACCAAAGGTTTATAAGATTTTTTCCGCGTTCTTCCAATTAACTCGTATTCCTAGATATGATAATAAAAGCAGACATAAGTGATAATAATGCCTATATATAGTTAATCTGTTCTCAGTGATAAAGATTAAGTAGCTACTTATTATATTATATAATATCTTATCTCTGTTAACGATGCATCTATAAGAATATTTACAATTACAATAATTCCAAATGTGAAAATCAGCGTCTTAAATACACTTGGATAAAAAATGCTTATTATTCACTCCTAATATATATTATTTTGAGATCTTTTATTGTGTAAAGCTACATAAAGAAAAGAAGAGCATGTTAAACTGTTCTTTATTGTTTTAAAATTGTGGAGGTGGATACATGAACTGACACAGTTAAATATTGCATATTCTTTTTCAAAATAATAATAGGTAGAAAAAAATTACCTCAACGTAGTTAGTAACGAAGTCTTTAATTATTTTTCACTTCATCTAATGCTTTTTCAAATGCCTCAAAGGTATCAACTATGTTTAAAGTGAAATCAGCCCAGTCAACTTCAGTTTTATCAAACCAAAAGTATTTGCCTTTAACTGACTGGTCTATATCCAGAGCGAGATACGCTGGAGTCAATCCTGCTTCATCTACAGTCATATCACCGCCGCCTCTTGTCATATTTGTTCTAACAAATCCTGGATTCAAATGATTAATAGAAATTCCTCTACCCACTTGTTTCTGTTGAACTCTTGTTAAAGCTGAAACAGCTACTTTCGAGACCCTGTATGCTATGACAGAATTCTCAATAAAATCCTCTTCTTTTAACGTTCCATCTTCCACAGAATCTAAAAACCAGTTAATAAATGCATGTACATCATCATAGGTTAAGTCGTCCTTGATCAAGCGTTGGATCCAGCAAGTATTCTTTATGTTAGTGATATGTCCCCAATCACTTGATATATTTACGACTCTTGCGTTACCTCTGAGAATTGGGAAGAAATATTTCTGCATTAGAACAATACCATAGAAGTTAACATCGATTACTTTCTTTGCATCTTCGTATGTGGTCTTATAGAAGTCAGGATCGAGGAAACCTGCATTGTTGATAAGAATATCCACGCCTCCATGCTTTTCCTTTATGAAATCAGCGAATACCTCTACGCTAGTTTCATCAGTGACATCGAGCTGATGGAATTTTGGATAAAAACCAGAATTTTCCAAGGACTTAACTGCTTTTCTTCCGCGTTCTTCGTCTCTAGACGTTAAGTATACAATCTCGACATTTCGTCTGCATAATTCTTTAACGATTCCGAATCCTATACCTTGGTTTGATCCAGTCACTACTGCAACTTTGGAGACCATGATCACTTCGCTTGTTGGGATGCAACTAAGTATTTAAAATCTCAATTGGCTTTATTATACAACACTAGAGATAACACCTAGAGTAAAGAGAAAGTTATTATATTTATTGTACTTACTGATAACATAATCTGTAGCAAGTAGCAACACGAGATAAATTAACGTCTTTAAATTTAGTTTTATTTATTTATTTGTCTTATCTTTTAAATAGTGGCATGTAGAGTTCACGTCTTAAAGAGCTGTCTAGCTGACTTTTAATTATTTTAAGCATAAACAATTTTATTTGCGTTAAGATATTTTATTATAGTCAATTGAAAAACCTGTTTAAATAACATAATATGCGAGTGTAAGTGGTGTTCATTTTCTCCATCTTAGTAAATGTAATAACATTTTAATTATGTCTTTGTAGTGAATTTTTTTTCAAACTCTTTGAATTTTACTAATGTGTGTAGATTATTTTAAATAGTGGATAAGCTGCTAACGTTGACTTCAAATATTAATTTATTAGCGTGCTGCATGTGAAGTGCATCAAAAAATCATCCACGACTTTTTTTGCTTCTTCGTTGTTATAAAAGTCAGATTTGAGGTATCCAACATTGGTAAAAAAAATCTATATCACGATGCATCTCTTTAATGAAGCCAGCTATACTATCTTCCACTGTTATATCAATCTAATGGAAAAACCAACACCTAAGAAGGATTTAACTTCTTTTTTCCGTACTCTTCGTATTATCTGGTATTCATATGATAAGATAATAGAAACAGTCATAGGTGATAATAGTGCCCATATATAGTGTAATCTGTTTTCAGTGATAAAAGTTAACAAGCTACTTTGTTATGTTATATAATAATATTGCCTTATTTCAATTCTGTAAACAATAATTCTTTAAAAATAGATATAATAACAATTGTTCCAAAAATATAGTATTACAAATCAACGCCTTAACTACATGTGGATAAAAAGTACTTATATACTACTTATATATTTTGAGCATTAATTGTATTAAAAGTAAGTAATAAGTAGTTAATTTCTAAGAGAGATAGTTTACTTGCATAGCTAAATATTGCATGTCCTCTATTTAAACCTATAACTGAAATGTAGTTAGTAACGAAAGTTTTTAATTCTTTTTCGCTTCATCTAATGCTTTTTCAAATACCTCGAAGGTATCAATTATGTTTAAATTGAAATCAGCCCAGTCCACTTCAGTTTTATCAAACCAAAAGTATTTGCCTTTAACTGACTGGTCTATATCTAGAGCGAGATAAGCTGGAGTCAATCCTGCTTCATCTATCGTCATATCGCCACCGCCTCTTGTCATATTTGTTCTAACAAATCCTGGATTCAAATGATTAATAGAAATTCCCCTACCTACTTCTTTTTGCTGAACCTTTGTTAAAGCTGATATAGCCACTTTCGAGATCCTATATGCCACGACAGAATTATCAATAAAATCCTCTCCCTTTAACGTTCCATCTTTTACGGAATCTAAAAACCACTTAATAAATGCATGTACATCATCATAGGTTAAATCATCCTTGATCAAGCGTTGGATCCAGTAAGTATTCTTTATGTTAGTGATATGCCCCCAAGCACTTGATACGTTTACCACCCTGGCGTCATCTCTGAGAATTGGGAAGAAATATTTCTGGATTAGAACAATACCATAGAAGTTAACATCGATTACTTTCTTTGCATCTTCGTACGTGGTCTTATAGAAGTCAGGATCGAGGAAACCTGCATTGTTGATAAGAATATCCACGCCACCATGCTTTTCCTTTATGAAATCAGCGAATACCTTTACGCTAGTTTCATCAGTGACATCGAGCTGATGGAATTTTGGATAAAAACCAGAATCTTCCAAGGACTTAACAGCTTTTCTTCCGCGTTCTTCGTCTCTAGACGTTAAGTATACAATCTCGACATTTCGTCTGCATAATTCCTCAACGATTCCGAATCCTATACCTTGGTTTGATCCAGTCACTACTGCAACTTTGGAGACCATGATCACTTCGCTTGTTGGAAAACAACTAAGCGTTTTTAAATTCTGATTTAATTTTATTATACAACACCAAAGATAGCAACGTTGCTACAGAGAAAATCATTGTATTTATTGTACTTACAGATAACATAATCTGTAGAAACTAGCCATACGTGATAAGTTCATGTCTTTAAATATTATATTTATTTTGTCTTATCGCTTCAGTAGTGACATGTAGAGTTATTATAATTATTTTAAACATAAACATTTTTAAATAGTCGTTAAATATTTTAAAATAGTCAATTGAAAAGCCTGTTTAAATAAGCTAATATGCACGTGTAAGTTGTTTCTTTTCTTTACCCATTGTAAATTCTGTGGTGTGTTTTATAAATAATAAAGCAATAAATAAATAAATGTAATTACATTCTAATTTCGTCTATGCATTGTTAATTACCTACATCGTGTGTATTTTCATTATCTCCTTACGAATTTTACAAATGTGTGTAGATTATTATTATTAGTGGATGAGCTGGTGTCGCTAACTTTAAACATTATTTTAATAGCGTGCTATTGTAGAAACTGTAAGTCTGAATCACTTGAATGTCGCTGTAAAACAAGCTATGTGCGACGTTTAAATCTACTAAATTTATCTTTCCCATAAGGGTGTTTGTTCACTAGAGCACAGATTTAGTGTAATTATGTGTATAAAAAACTACTGCAACATCTTATTTTTTGGTCCCAAACTGAAATATATTTACATTTACGCAGTAAGATTTGCCATCTACGCGTAATTATAAGAAAGTCTCTACATTTCTTTTTTTACAAGGTGATTTTAGTATTAATTATTATATTTATTTAAGTAAGTGCATCTGTAATCTATTTACTGTCGCAGAGATTAAGGAACTAATCCTAAAGTTACGATTGGATAGGATCAAAAATACTACTTAAATTCCAATATAAACAGGATTCTAATTGTAAAAAGTAAAAATAAAGTGGCACAAATGAACGTTTACCTTTATAAAGAATAAATTGAGACTGTGCGTTGTATGTAGTGCGCTCGTGTAATCTTAATTATTTGTTATGTTGGAAGGTTTGTTACTCGGGTAGAAATGTAACTGTGCGATAACAGTTCTTAATTACTACTAAGTCACGCGGCGTCACTAAAACAAAAGAAAGTATTTTGAAGTTTTTAAATATTTTTTTTTAGGCTTCTTTCGTCTCTATATAGTACACGTTTCTTTACTACGTATAAGACAAAGCTTTTATTTTCTCGTTGTATTTGTCTGTAAAACAATCAATCAAATGACAGCTCTATAAATTTGACAATTGACGTTTCATGCAATGAGGTTTTATGGCCTTTCAAATTGAAAGCAATTAACAGTCGCATTCCTTACCAATTCCTTATATCTGTATGTAAAATGAATTCAAAATGCACTACATCAAGTAAAAAATATACCTGTTCTGGCGTTCTTATTGTTTATTTGACCTACAATACTATAATATCTCTGTTATTTACTTAGTTTCCCCCAACAAACACGTCATTAGAACTATTTAACTCAAAACAGGATTGCCAAATAAATTGGAACGTGACTAATACTGCCTCATTAGTAAGTATTACATTGATCATTCACCCTTCGAGCTCCTGTATAGGAGACCGCAAGACAATTTCTTAATCGTTAAGGGAACGAAACAAATCACCGGAACTCAGCTACAGACCCCACAGGACTACTGTCCCTAGGAAGCTGCAAAATGTGGTCTAAGTTAAAAGACTGTGACGGTAGAATAAGAAGAATATTGTAAGGCTAAACAGTTTGTTTGAACGCGCTAATGTCAGTTACTACTGCTTTTAGTTGAAAATATAATAATTTTTTTTTACTTATTAGAACTTCTCGATTGGGCGGAGACGACATTGTGTGTTACAGCTATTATTTATAAAGCTGAGAAGGTTGTATGAAAAAATAAATAATATGATGCCCGAAATAACTAATTTACGCGGACGAATTTGTCTAGTCTCCTCAAGACGAAGCTAGAAAACTCAAGGAGCAAATACGTTTCACTAATGTACGTTTAAGTAAATAAATAAAAGCGTCTTAGGCGATATAAATATGTATAGGTTTATATATTTAAAAAAGGAAATTAAAACATTTCTGCTTTGTATGGTGCTCAAGAGCAGTACTAATGGAAGAACTTTGTTTACACAAATGAAATTGCAAAGACAATATTTAAATAAAATACTTTAATGGTTTAAAACGCGATATATTAGTTAAACTTATTCGAAAATGATTTTTAACTTTTAAGTTTCGGATGCTTTACAGCAGCTGTGGTCACGGGGAGACTGACTGTTTTAAACCGTTTAAAGTGTTTTATTTAAATGTGTACTACTCGCGTAAACTATAGACAGAGTTTAAGACTATATTTATTTCAAGCCACGCTGAATATCGCCTATAACTTGCACCACACGCGGAGACAACTGCAAATAGCAGTAAAATGGGACGCATCAGTCCCCATTGCAAGGACTTTGACGGAAACATCCCTTGCACCTAATAAACTAATGCGTTGAGGTTTCTCTATTCACCCTAACGTCATCTGGGGGTTGCTTCTTTGATAAAACGAATGGACGTCTTCCGATAACGTATTACAGTGCTTTGTATAGAGACATCTACTGAAATAACTCGATGAATAAATCATTGGTTTCTTACAATACACATCTATACTTTGATAAATACAACTATAGCTATACTTAAGTTAAGTAAAGGACTCTAAGGCTTAATTTATATGAGATATAAGAAAATATTTTACAATTGAAGACACAGATACTGAAAAGTATATTTCAGATTGTAAAATGATTGACACGAGCGGGCTTAGAATCCGTTTAGGTGACTGTGACGTTGCTCAAACAATTGAGCAATCATGTCCTATTCGTAACGAACTTTGTTCAAATCATACGTGTATTTTGCGCAATATAAATGTATAAGTTGTTTGTAGTCTATGCCACTAATCTAATAAGTTATTCTTTTTTAAATATCCAAACGTGGTTATATTCAGACAGATAAACGAAATTGAATCAATAAGTTTGAAATATAGTATTCACATGAAAGGAAAATATTGTACGTAAATTAGCGGTATTTTTTAAAAGACGAAATATATTAGTTCACTTATTATAGATCTCTATCATTACTACCGATCTCTTCAGTAAGTATACTTAAAAGATATATTAATAGATTCTAACATATATACATTCATATAGCTCATATTACAAGACTTTCCATTCGACAACGGCGGTCTCAGCAAAACGTCCTTACTCGGAACTGAATTATTACAGGAGTGTAAGGGGAGCCTCAAGTTCCTCTCTGCTAAATCATTTGAAACAATTGGCCCTGATTCATTGTTCCATTATGAAAGCTCCAAAATGTTTTCTTATCATGCTCCATAAATCCGCGTCGGTCACAAATTGCATCTGCCATCAATCTAAACGATGTTATATAGTTACGCACCCCACCTTCAGCGATTGTCATTGTGCGTCTCTAGTTATAGCGGGAATACCTCTTAAGACATACATAATATAAAGACTTCCGCGTGTAAAAAGTAATTTAACAAAAATTCAAAAAAACTCCACCGCGCTTGAGCGAAGGTAACTTATAATGAACAGGAAGTAAGTTCGATTACACTTTTAGTGAAACATGTTAGATTTTACCTGGACAATCTGGACTTTTTCATTTATTTGTTAGTCTGTGAATTTATAAATAGATCGACAGCGCATTTTTTTAAATAGAGGTATTTAACAATTAAGTGCACTTTGTGTTTGTCTGTGCACCATTACCATAAGAAAAAAAATAACTAAAGTCATAATAAACTGTAGGACAGTGAGATTTTGATTTGGTTACATATTTATAACTTAATTTATATATTTACGCGGACGAAGTTGTCTAGTCTTCTTAAGAAGTTAGAAAACTCAAGGAGCAAATACGTTTCACTAATGTACGTTTAAGTAAACAAATAAAGGCGTCTTAGGCAATGTATGTGTTTAGATTATCTAATCTAGTAACACATCTAGATGTATTCGAAACTGCAAGAGTAAAATCGCTCTAACAGATACCGTACATTGGAATCTTCCCCTATCTAAATCGTGCAATGTTTACGTAGTTATTTCTCTTCGTTAGCCAACGATTTGTCATGAATACTTTAGCGATATTGTTTTTAGATTGAGTGCAACGAGAACACACACACGACAGGGGTGAGTGGAAAAATGTCCTTAATACCGCAAATTGAATCACTAACCGATTGCATATACAAGAGACAAAAAAACATATTCAATTTTTAAAAAGTATTTGGTTTTGAGGAAAATAAACATTAAAGATTTCTCTCTATATTAATGTCTCAAGAAATCTGTACTGCAGTATCACAAGATTTTTTAATGATTTTAAAATGATTGACTGATTCTTTTCAAATATCCAGAGCCAAACCTTCTATAATAGTAAACACCATGCTTGTCTGGTTATTGCTTGTGTTGCCATTATCTGTTAAAACTACAACTGTCATTATATTTTAGAAGCACAAAATAAAAAGAGGATTTAAGGAAAACAAAATTTAAAAAGAGATGCAAACGTAATAAAACCACAGATACAATTCACTCAGCAATAAAAATAGATGCGCGTGGAGGTTGTAAACGCACCGTAAATGATAAGTGCATTCCAACACTTAAACACTCCCCTCGCACTGAGTGATCACTTAATGTGCGGGTGTGTGTGATTGATTTGTATACAATTTAAATGTGGAGGTTTCAAGAGGAAATTGTGAAAAGTTTTTGGGAAATACAAGACTGCAAATGAAAAAGAAAAGAAATTGACAATGATTAACAACTAAAAAATACATAGTTCCCTCTATTAGGGCAAAATAAATAAAATAATATGTTAGATTAAAAAATTTAAGACACTGACAGGACTCGAACCTTCATTCACAGCGATGTGTGCTCTTACCTGAACTAGCGTGACTTCTTGAAAGCTGACCTAAACTATAACTCTACA